AGCGTCTGTCTCTTTAACCCTTTAACGCTTTTCTATTCTACTTACGTGGACGGAGGAGATTCACGACTGCTGAAAATATGTCGCACTGTTTTAATAATCTCACTTAGTATAATATACAATCTATTAGATTTTCAGTAAAGAAGAAAATAATGCTTGTTGGCTTCCACAATGTTCATGAAGCCTGATTATATAGCAAATAACTCTTTATTTGCAACACAGTTTGTTATGTAACAGTAATGCAATGTAACCGAGTTCTTAAATGTCAAATGTGTGCGAGTCCAATGTCCTGAGGTTCAAATTCGTGTAATCGTTCGTACCAGAGTTCAGATTCTATGTTTCACTAATGTGTTCTTACAAGAATGTCACTTTTGTCTATCACCCCCGTCCCTTTATACGGTTTTTGTCCGTCCATTTGGGTCCCTTGACGGGGGTGAGATTTGGGTGGGTGGCCAAAACTCCCAATCAAGTTAGGGCCTTGGTCGACGCCCGACGCCAACCGCTCACCCTTAGGGATGGGGTGTTCTGGGTGAGGTCACCTGAGCTTCTGGGACAAACCCAGGGTAACGGTACCGCTCGCTCGCTCGCATGGGTTTATGATACGTCAACTGCTATTGAGATGCACGAAGAAACTCCAAATTCTCCGCTTTTATGAGAGGTTTGGAGCCCTCCTGACAATAAGGAATAACTAACGAACGAAACCATTAAACGCGTGTTCAAACCTTAATCTGAAAAATAGCAGAGTCACGTCCGTATCGTAAACCTGGTCTAAACTTAAGTATCCTTAACAATGCTACAGCTTGGCATGGTTATCGGCAAATTTCAATATCAACGAGCAAAAGTAACAATGTTTTAAAAGTTTCTTGTTTCAAAATCATCGAGGAAAAGTTGTTTGTTGCTTAAGTCATAGTCGAAAGATTTTGAAATCTTTTAGAATTCAACATGATGGAAAAATTTGCATTCTCAAAAAAATGTTTTGGTTTTGAATATATACTCAAGATGACTGAAAATCGACGTTGATGTATTAATATAAAGCCAAAGAGATAGTATGTGACTAATTTTCTATCCTGAAAGAACGTTTGCTCACTTGTTAACATAACCTTCAAATAACGGCCGAAAATGTGCGAATAAACGGCTGTCGTTAAGAGGTTCAAAGATGGCGGTATTTCACATCTTTGTAGAATTTTATTAGGATTTTGCAATCACAAATTCCATCAGGTTTTATCAAACCGTCTCGTTCTATTACAAAATTCTTCGAGGTTGCGTAATTATAATAGCTGTCTTGCGTAATCCTATAAACGTTGTATTTCACGAAAATAAAAGCGCATTCTTTTTTCTCGATAAATCTCTCGTGGTTGTAAGCGTAAAATGTTTGAATACTTTGAATTAATAACGATTAATTAAGCGATATTCAAATTTCCATTGTTCGCTAATCGGTTTCTAAATTTCCATGTAGAATAATCATTTTTAATCCAGTCTCGTGTAAAGTTGTAATCTAGATGTGTCTAATAATTACGATTACGTTGATTTTTAGTATTCATTTAAACATTAGCAAACCACTTCTCCGCACGTTGCAAAATATAGGACAGCTAAGAAATGTTTCATCGTTGATAAATTTCAAGTAAGAAACGAAAGCGCTTCTTCCTTTTTTGTTGCGTTGGTGAATATTTCAATGTATCGCTTTCACCGTAACGTACGCGTCGACCGAGATTTTCACAACGGTGTTTAGGGCTCTACGTTGCCTTCCGTTGAGCAACGAGTGGTCCTGCGTATTGCACGCGTTTTTGCCCGAGTCGAAGGACCACCAGAGTCCTGTAAGCATTCTAGAAATTTATTCACCGCGTGCAGAGGACCTTTCCTCTCCGTATTTAACCGCGTTTTTACCAAATATGGTTGCGAAGCAGCCGCTTGCATCGAGTCAACTCTTTTTGCAAAATCAACCCCGCGAGCCTACGATGCTCTCCTTATATTCTAATCGCCATGATAGGCAGTGACACCGTTGACGAATCGTCACGTTTCCTTTTCCTGGGCTGTCTTCCTGGCTTCCTTAGGACATCGTCCACCTTGGCGGCTGGAGGGCTAACAGGGTGGGTCTGCAGGTCACCAGGAGAACTAAACATAAGGGGTCGTCGAGCCTGGTGGCCCGACTTTGCTCGTACTCGCGTTACCCGGGTCTACGACACGTCAATTGCTATCGAGTGAGCGAAGACCTCTTGCTGCCATAAACGACTTTCCAGAGCCTGACTTCTGACTCGAACGACTAACAATAGTAAAAATTTCTTTCAATTAAAAGTTCCTCAAAAATAGCTGTGCCTGGCGTCCGTGTCATAAACCCATTGCCTCCTGGACAAGGCATGTTAGTGCCGTTCACTAACAACGGTCACGGCGTACTTTCACGTAACACTTCGTTTACTTCTCTCTGCTCACTTTGATATGCGTCATTTCTCTTTCACAAAAACACCACGTATCGTTGTTTCAAAAGCGTGTGTTTCAGTCTAGGCTGATAATGTCAAGCATGATTAGTTTCTTGTACGGAATGTCCGTTAGGAAAGTGTGTCAAGACATCCGTGAGTTTCTTGACTCGCGTGGCTTGTAAAATTATGATAAATTTCATAACAAGAGGTACATTTACGACGAACCGAGAAAGTTCCCCCTTGCAAGTTCACACGTCAACTTCGCTTCTAGCAAGTTTACCGCGTTTCGTTAGACTTAAGGTCGCGCGTGCATTTATTTCAGACGAATTCCGTGCGCGTTTTGACAGTCATAGAGCGTTCCGTGGGGAAATCGGTGATAAATTTCAACGACGTGGCAAAATTTCTCGCGCCGCGTATCGGTCAAGTTACCTAAAAATTATCTCATAACAATCACTAACGGTACGACGGCCGCTTGTACCGTGTGATAGTGTACAGCACGAGTTGCGCGATAACACGAGTAAACATTCGTGCTACGTCGCAAATCTGAGATCTCCATCTGACAATTGTCGGCTCTGATACGTATCGTGTACGCTATATACGCCAACTTTCATCCGCGCTATCGATCGAAAGTAACGACTAAGACATAAATTTGTTGCTATGCTTAGTGTTCGCATATTGAATGTTCGCACGCAAAGCGGATTTCTCGAACTGTAAATGAAATCCGGAGACCATTGTTACCTCCCTATTGATTTTCAACGAATTAGAAATTTCTCGGATTTTAACTATAGTTTGTCAGTCTATAGTAGATGTAGAAAAGTATTTCTAGTCTTTGCGATAGGAAATGGTATAATAATTATGCTTCTCATTTGAAACACAAGTACTTAATTTTTGATAAAGCAAGAGAAAAGGAACGACGAGAAGAAGAAAACTGTAAAAACGAGCAAGAAAACCGTCCAACTATATCAGACATTTGGTAACGTGTTAATTTCGTCGCTGCTTCTCTTGTTCGCTGACACGGAATCTCGTGATCGTGCTTCCTGGCGCTGGTGAACAAGCAGAAGGTTCACGACAAGCATACGATAACGGCTCTGTGAACGAAAGGAGGGACCGAACGTCGCGTTACTTCGCTCCAGATGTGATGTTTTAGTGGAGAGTAGGTGGATCGTATGCGAGGGATCAACTGAGTGCGGTAGCGTGCCACAGGCGATTGATAATTTGTGACCCACTTTTAAAGGCCGTTGGCCTAGATACGAGGGTGCTGTAGCTTGATCTAAGATATCAGGCTTCCCTTCTCTCTCTCCTTTTGTACCGCCTCACTCTTCATTCGTTTCCCATTCTTTTACTCTTTCTAGTCTCGTCGCCGTGCCATCTACCTCACGGATCACGGTTTTCCAAACTTACGATATCTGGCACATAACTCGTGTCCTGGCAAATGTTTAAGATTTTGCATCGTTTCTACTGTTCCGCGCCTTGCCCTATGCTCGCTTAAGTCAATTTCGAAAACTAAAACTTCGAGAGTCTTTTTATCGTTTTAGTCGACCAGGATTTTCATATTTGCTTTTTGCATTTGGCAAGCACTTTAATACGTATACGCGAAAACTGCGATACAATAATTGTGTTGAGTGTTTCGTTAGTTTCGTCTCTTTTTGTTTAATAAAGTGACATTGATCATTTAACTTGATCGGTAAACTTCATATAGCAAGTATTAATTCACTTAACTCTGGATTCAGAGTGCCAGTAATTTTCTGGTACGTTAAAATCGTACGTAAAAATAAAGTTGGAATGAAGGGTAATCGAAAAACTGTTGATTTGTTTAAATGTGTTGTACCATGCACGTTTATCGATCGGGTGAAATTCGTCTTTACCAGTCAGTGGCATCGAAAAATTTCCATCAACTCACACTACCGCGACGCAACTTACCCTCCTTACTCAGCTTTCTCCGATACCATGCTAATTTGAGACAGGCCCGTCCACCGGAAGGAACAATGGTGTGTGTATGCAAGCGGTATACGTGCATGGTAAAGTTTCGTTGAGTGGTGTAGAGAGGTACATTGTAAAGAAAGGAGGTGGCGAGAACGATAGTGGGGATACTTGTGTGGCGGTAGTGGAAGTGGCAGTAGCGCGAGTGGTGGGGGTAGCTCCACGTCGCAGAGCGAATCGAAAGACGGTGTAAGCGCACTCGGTGTTTCCTGCTTCAGTGTCGTTTCGACCGCGGTTTAGTACGGTTGTTCGAGTTAGAGTTATGTTGAATCTGCGCGACCATCGTCGACATCGCTAACACTGCGACTGTATCAATCATTCTTCGGTTATTTCCACTATCTGGAACATGTCCGTTAATGTTACGCCAGTAAGAGAATAATACTGTTCAGGATATTTCGATCGGATCAGTGTTACAGTTCTGTTAGTGGTATCGCGAGAAAAAGGTTCGCGATGCCAATGGGCTAAACCAGTGGTGGTTCAGTTGGAGCATCGAGAACGTCGCATTCGAATCTGGGTCAATGGAGTAACGTGTTAATGTGACGCATTATAGCCAGCGATTGGATTTTCGTGAGGTGTAGAATTTACCGATAATCGAGGGATTATAACGGTGTTGATATCGTACAAGTGGCATCGGATTTTGTAAAATGAGCCCGGCCTCCCAGGGCGGCGTGGAGGTGGAGCGTTACATCGGTAGTTGTTTGATATCGTCGACCGTTAGACCGGGATCGCATAAGCCGATCGTCGCTAAGAAGCAAGAAAGTGTAATTCGCGGGAAAACACGAGGGTGTTACGGGGGTCAGAATTTTCCTAACAACACCGAGCAATGTCAGGTGCAATATGGTCCCGGCGGTTGGACGGGCGCTCCCTTAATATCCATGATATCGAGTCCGCGTAGATGTAATCAAAGATCGTCGCCGCCGCCGCTCGGTCAACAACAACAGCAGCAGCAACCACAGTCACAGCTGCCACCACCGCAACCAACACAGCAACAGCAGGGTTGCGAACAGCAAGTATCGGCTCACCTGCACAAGAATCCACTTTCTAGATTAGCCATTCACACGCAGGGAGCGCCGCTGATCCTATCCAGTCGGTTCCACAATCGAGGCAAGATACATAACAGCGGGAACGCTAATGGCATTACAAATACGGTCTGTAGCAACAATGGCACGGTTAATAGTTACGTTCATAACAATGGTAATACCGTGACATCGAATTGTACGATGAACAGTTGTACGGTAAGGTGTCCACCGTCGAGGCCTCAGAGGTCCATGGAGCTCGCGAAGAAGCAGCAAACAAACCCAAAGTCGCCGGACTGCTCGACGAGCAAGGAAGTCACGGGAACCGGAAGTAACATCGCGAACATCGACTCGCTGAGTATCGCGAGCGACGAAAGTTCCGGATCGAACAACTCTGAAAACAGTTTACCGCGCATCATCAAGCCTCGAAAACGTAGAAAGAAGGATAGGAAACCGGCGAATAACGCGATGACGGCTGTAGAAGTAACAAAACACGAGGAGCAGCAACAACAGTCCAGTCCGAGTCTAACTACCGAACAATCGAACGTAGTTTCTTTAAAACCGTACGTGCCGGCTTGTTACGAGCAACATTACGAAGCCGCGGTGCCGCTTCACCTTAGAAACCATAGACGGCCGCCCATAGCGAGGGAAAGCATGTACGGTTGTAGTGTGCAGACAACGGGCATGTCGGTGCAAGAGATCGCCGACGCGAGGCAAAGGTATCCGCATCGGCACGTGGAAGTGAAAGTGTTGGACGACAATAGAAACGTCGTAGTGCCGGCGCAATTGCGCACCATTCTACCAAAGGGTTATAGACATAGCAGCCAGCACCGCCACACTTCTAGCAACAACGTTCCGCGTTACATGCACGAATATAACGATTCAACGACGACTACGACAACGACGACGACCGCGTCGTCGACAACGACAAGTTGCGAAGATGGTATCAAAGATGGATTAGGATCGTGCCAGTGTCAGTATTGCGATCCCTCGGCTCTCATATGGGACGTGGATCAGAACTGTTACTCGCCTTTTCTGACCCCGTCACCGTCCACCGAGTTCTGTTCCGGCCATCACTTCTCCAAGATGCCGCTGTTCTTGCCGCGGCCGGGTCTCAATTGTCAGGAGCAAAGGATCGAGAGGCTTTTCAACACTGATAATCCTCCACTCCATCAGGAGAGGGACACGTGCAGTAGTACCGGTGTCGTACTCAGGCGCAGCTGGAGCGATCCGACCAGTTACTTCAGCGAGGAAATCAGTACGCCCAGCAAAGACGTTGGCGTGATCGGCGATAGGGGACAGGCTGAAAGTGGAAAACGTCGAACGCTCTGGCGCGGAGACTCGATCGGTATTCCCACGAATAACGTTGGATCATCCGGTACGGACGTAAACAGTACCGTACAGTCGCCGAAAGGGCTCGAGGTCTCCACGGAGATCATAACGTCGCCGAACGGCCACAGAGATTTGGAAATAAAGTTCTACTCGCCCTCGCCGAACGCACCGGCGCCCGAGGAAGACAAACGCATCTTGGCGGAGGACATCGACGAGGACGAAGATTTCAGCGATATTTGGAGCTACCACGAGTCCAAGTTGCAACAGGATTTCCGCACGTTGCTGCAAGCGGAGGAATGAACGTGAAACGAAATTCTCTTTTGATGCCTACTGGTCCGGCTCGTTAGGATCGAAAGAGAAAGCATTCGTGCATGTTCGTGCGAACGTTCAAGATAGCCGTGTGTGCGCGCGAGGGGAAAAAAGGAAATATCGTGAATACGTTGATATATATGTACATGCGTGCGTGCGTGGGTATGAGTGTATGCGTGCGCGCGCGTAGAGAGAAAGCGAGAGAGGGAGGGTCGGAAGGAGGGAGGCGACCCTGGAGATTCAGTTAATTCGTCGATAGAGGGAACAAAGTCGAATAGATTGCATTTATAACGACATACAGATTCGTGTTCCAAAAATCTTTATTCTCATTTGGACGTTTTAGACGAGACCGTGACGCACTTGACGAGTATATCATACTGCTCTCTCTCTCTCCCTCCCCTCTCCATCTCCCTCTCCCCCTCCCCCTTCATTCCCCTCCTTAAACTTGTCCCTGCATTGACGCCCACGTTGTTGCCATAGCAGTCTTCAACGAAACGATCAACCAGTGTAACTGACGGTAACGAGCAAAACTACGTGTCGAACGATTCTTCTTCCTAACGGTGTACGTTGTATACGCGTAGTATACGTGACGTGCATGCGCACTCATGAAGCACGCACGAGAGTAGGTCTAAAGGATTGTACCTCGACGTAGGGAGTGCATGTGGTTTGGTTATTGATGACAACGTACTGCTAATAAACGGTGGTTGGCTCGCGTCGTGAAGCGAATCAATTTGGACGATAAGCGCGGTGTCAACTACTACCCTAGACTTCCATGCACGCGAGAGAAAGATCGCTCGAAGACTACGCGAATTTTGAGCCGCAACGTGCGTCTGCTAACCGCTTATCCTCTCTCTTTCTCTCTCTCTCTCTCTCGTTCTACCTGTTATGTCTCTCTTCCCTTACTGTTTCCCCCACCCTTTTTCTCCCTCTCTTCGTCATTTCTACGCTTTCAGTACCTTCTCTCCGGCGTCATACACTCTCGGCTGTCGTCAACGTTTGCAACGGGATAATGACTTTTCTCACAGCCAACCTCTATAAACCGGACAAATAGAGATTTGACTGTTTAAATCGTAACGTAGTAATCAAACGATAGAACGATTCGTGCGCTAATCTTTGGGGGAGCTCGTGTTTTGCGTTTACGTGTTTCGTCTCTTTTAACCACAGTCACGTGATATGCCCGATAATGTTCTTCAAGTTCCATCGCTTCCTGAATAATTGCTTTTCCAGCGAACGTTTATCGTTTGAAATGTCCCTTTTTCTTCGTCGGTATGCAATTTCCTGCGGATCTTCCAATGGTTTAACAAATCGTTTGAGTATTACAATTCTTTAGTGGAAATGCGATCAGAAGGTTCGCGCTGTTTTAAAAATAGAGCTGCATTCACGCACAACTTCCGTGTTAATACAACGATGGATAGATATCCCATGATGATAAAAATGATGGTATTTATATTGCAGCATTGTTGAACTTTTGTTTGTACTAAACAGCTATCGACGAATGCAATTTGTAATTGATGCTCGCTTTTCGTGGCACCACGACGTTAATTTGAGGGGCAGAAATTGTCGAGTAATTATCAGTGATAATTACACTTTTTTACAGTTATTTAACTAAAAGTTACTAACAATAAAATTTCGTCAATTCGAAAGTTCAAAGAAGTATGAAACTTTGCAGAAATGCAGTTCAAGTGACGTTAATGACGGAACCATTTTTTATTTTAGCAATGAAACCCTCCATCACAAAATTTTTTAATCGGACAAAATGAACCTTCCGTGCCAAAAAAATACATTTTAGTAAATTACACACATGTGCATATTTAAATAATGCTCACTGTAACGTACAAATAGTAGAAGATATAATTACTTTCGTACTCATATTTTAAGACAATTACAGTAGACATTGAAAAATCTGTACTGGCAGTAGTACAAAAGGAAATTTAACTGTGCTAAAGGTATTTTTCATTTTTATAGTCTCTTGGAAAATATCGTGCTCTATTATCATAAATGTATGACAATGTAAGAATTCGACTATGCACTTGTTCAGATTGGTAATTTGCAAGCGTTTGCGTGCATAGTTCTTGTCATACTTTTGCGATAGTGCAGCACTATATTTTCGAGTCGACTGTACCGAATGCATATTTAAATAATGCTCACTGTAACGTACAAATAGTAGAAGATATAATTACTTTCGTACTCATATTTTAAGACAATTACAGTAGACATTGAAAAATCTGTACTGGCAGTAGTACAAAAGGAAATTTAACTGTGCTAAAGGTATTTTTCATTTTTATAGTCTCTTGGAAAATATCGTGCTCTATTATCATAAATGTATGACAATGTAAGAATTCGACTATGCACTTGTTCAGATTGGTAATTTGCAAGCGTTTGCGTGCATAGTTATTGTCATACTTTTGCGATAGTGCAGCACTATATTTTCGAGTCGACTGTACCGAATAAGATGAACACTATCTAAGTGTTACAATAATGATATTCTTCGATAAAATGTTTAAAGCAGAAATATTTTTTACACCACGCGTAACGTACTCGTTTTACACACTAATTAGCGGAATAATTTTTTCTTCTTTAAAGTAACAATAATCGACCGGATTATCAAATTCATCTAGTCGTGCAGATAACTAGCTACGTTTGCTCCATGCGTAATTGAGTACATTTTTAAATCTAGGAAACGAACATTGGTCGTGTGTCCATGGCTGCAATTTTATTATATTATTACGTGCACGAGCATTTATATCGTACTCGTGCAATATGACGGCCTCAGATAATACATCCGAAGGCCTGTGACAAATCAGTTATCTTTTTCGGTATATTTAAAACCGCTATTTGCTTGTGTTTTGGTAGGAGTTGCTTTAAGCTTCCAGGGCTCTCCGTGTTTCGTAAAAATATCTCTTCGAACCAGTTCTTAAAATGTTTCATTGACTTTTTGAGGTTGCAACGTAATCCAAATGATACAATGTAAAGGGGTGAAAAGAGTTGTCCACTTGCGGATACAATAGGCATGATAGCATAACTGTGAGTTATAGAGGATAAAGACTGAATAGAGGCTTCGAATTTTTTCGTTGCAATAGCAGGTAATGACCGTCTAAAATGCATCTCCACATTAAAACCTCTTTCGTCTGCATTCTAAACCGATTCTTCATCAATGCTAACGATGTATGATTTTACCGATTTAACGAATTTTTTGGCACTTCCAGGTCTGTTCGCAATGTCACTAACAAGGGAACTTCGGTAACCCGAAAATTCTGATTTTTTTTTCAAACTTTGAAGTATCGGGACAATTGTTTTTTGGCCCTTTTTCGGTTCTTCGGGGTGAAAACAGCCCTTGAATGCAGATAGGTGTTACCCTATTTCCCTGTATATCTTTAAAACTATAGTAGATATAAAAAAGTGTTTATAATAAAAATTTAATGGCTTTTTATGCCTTGTAAGACTGTGCTATCAAATTAATAAAAATAGTTTTTTTATATAAAAAATCTCTCACTACCGTTGTGAAAAATTTGAATTCTCATATCGAAAAGTATGTCGAATAAATGCAGATAAATATGCTAAATATGTTAACACTTCTAACGGTGCGTTATCAGTTGGTAAGTATGTGTGCAAACCTTTGGTATACCTTTATCGTACGACGTAATATGAAAGTGTAAACAATAACATTGTTAAGTTTGCAAACTTTAACAAGATTGTGTTAACCTTTATTATCGGTCAGCAGGATATAAGAATATATTACAATTAGTATTGTAGAGACTGTTAATCGTGTGTAATATACACAATATGATATGTTATCATATGCATACAATACACTCAAACATACATTTACCCACATACACATTCTTACATTTTTTGATCGTTCTACAAGCATTTATCTTCTATGGTTCGTATTCGCTGCAAAAATGGTATCGTTCAAAAAAGTGTTCGAAACAGAAATTCTCTTTACACCAGGCACATCGCAACCGGTGAGGTGTAAAATCTGTGTTTGGATAACAAAAACTCACTGGATTTTCAAACGGTTCGGGTCTATGGGAAAGATACGCACTTTTGTACCAAGCATATTTAAAAAGATTATGGAACCGGGCGATGATAATTGATTACAAGTTAATGATTGCAATTTTATTGTATTTTTTCGTAAATGAAGATTAACGGGTAAATCTAATAGTGTAGTTCTATCGGAAAATGTTCTTATAAAGTTTTTCCATATTCGGAAACCATAAATATCTAACGGTTGAATTAACCCTGTTAACTTGTTTGGTATCGTTCGAAATACCACTTCCTTCTCATGTTGTATTTCTGGTTCTAAATTAGCTGGAGTAAGCAAGTAGTAGTACGCTGCGTTGTCCAATGTGTGGTGAAAAAATATTCGTCAGCCAATTCTTGAACTTATTTGACGTTAATTTTTCAAACGTTGTTGCAGAAATATAAACATTGCTTGGTCTAAAAAGAGTTTCCTGCACCCGAGCTCCTAGAGTTCCAGTAGGCTCTTTTAATACGATAAACAATGGTGAGAGTAATTTTCCACTTGCAGAAATTGTAGGTAGAATTGTGTAGCTGTGCGTAAGGGATGATAGAAATTGAACGATAGCTGAATGTATTTCTAATGTAAAGCCACTCTCATCAGCGTTATAAACGTTGTCTTCACCAAAGTTCGTTATTAGCCCCTTAACCTATGACAACGCGTCAGACTCGTGGCAGAGATTCTGGTGAAGATGTGAGAAAAGTAGTTACATTAGTGAGAAAAATTCATTGTAATCCTAACTTTTGTTTGGATTTGTAAGACCAAGGATTGCTAAATCTAATTAATCTGTGACAGATTAGTTTTTGTTACCTGATAGAAAATGGCTGACGCTTAGATGCACAGTCCGAAAAGAAATCATAGGTTAAGGGGTTAACGGTTTTATATCATTCACGAAGACGGTACTTATTGTTTCTATTTCTTCAACGTTTGCATGGATTGACTGTGTGATAAACTTTGTTATCTCACGTGA